GCAGAAGGTATAAAATGCAAACATGAATCATTTGTGCAAATGGTGAAAACAAAAGGATTTAATACTCCAGGTGGTAATCTAACTACGTTGGAGAATCCATCCTCTTCGGAGGTAGACTATGTCACGAAAAACTCTGGACCGCCTCTATTAATCAGAAGTAATGTGGTTGACTATAATCAAATACATTCAACATTAAAAAACAAGGACATCAATTATAAGGTTAAAACGATGAATAACAATCAATTAAAGCTCATTGTGAATTCCGAAATGGATTACAGCAATCTTACCAGAGCCACTAATGGGGTTGATCATGGTAAGAAATCTTCACCCCAGTTGTAAACCGGAAGATATAAAAGAAGACTTAAGGTCTGGGGGTTACAAGATCTTGGATGTAACAAATAAAATTAAAAAAAATAAAAAAAAATGTGAAAAACGTTGTGGTGTCTCTACCGCTGTTTATGTTAACGTTTTCAAATGACGAGGAGATGAAAAAAGTTTATAAAACCAATCACATAAACAGGATCAAATTTAATATAAAGGCACTTCGAAAGGATAGGACCATTCGACAGTATAAATGATGTCAAATATTTGGACACACAAATAAAACTTTTGCCAGAGAGAACCGAATTATGTTAAATGTGCGGGCAGGCACTTAACCGCAGGTTGTAATAAGCCAAGGAGTACTGCAGCATAGTAATCCAATTGTTTCGAGGCCCACCCAGCAAAGTATAGCGGATGCCTTGTAGCTAAGGTACTGCAAAAACGTAGGAATAACAGCAAAAACAACAACGACAATTGGAAGACCGGCTATCGAAGCAATTCACTTCGAGAATAATATCAAAAGATGTAACATACAAGGACAATGACAGTAACACGAGCAACAAAGCAAGGGCTAGTGACGTGAATGTTTTGTATAAAATGCAAAATATGATGCAAAACATGCTAGATATGATGGACCAAATATTATACTTGTTCTACACGTGTGATATTCCTGAAACGGAAAGAGTGGCAACAGCAATATTTGCTCATGATAAAGCAGTTATCGCAATAGGACGAAATGAAAATGAATTTACACAAAAATTACGAAAGGCCAGTTATGAGATCTCAAAATGAACTGCAAAGTCGAATATAAAACTTAACGGGGTGAAATCAGTACACGTGAATTTCACTAATAGGAGCATTGACAATTTATTTTCGGTTCAGATAAATGACGTCGTAATTCCGTTCGATGGAATCAAGACGTTATTTATTATAAGACGTTATAGAGCGCAAAACTAAGTTGGAAGCATATAGAAAAAGAAATCTTAACTCGAAGAGGAATACAGGAAGTTTAAATGTCTCAAATATTTAAGCATTAAGACTTAAACGTACGAGACCTCTCGAGTTAGTTTAATGTTTTTTATTTGGAACAATGAGTACTTAGTACGATATTGTGTCAGATCAAAAGCTGGTAAATAATCAAAAAAGTTGGACCAATATTAATGGTTAGTCATTTCCAACTAGTTTTACGAGTATAATATATTTTAAGGAGGGTGTTTTTTAGATGATTAAAATTCCACACAACCGCTTTCCGTCTGGCAGTGTCTTTCGAGATTTTCGAGCAGTATTACTCACCATTTTATAACAAAATTTTATTTTTATTTTTGACCTACCTAAACTGCTTAGTGCACATATTTTGTAAAAAAAAAAAAGTTTTTTGTAGAACAAAAGTAAAAAAGAAGAAAAAATTGTTCTCGAATTTTTTGCAAACGTGAGTATTGTACTACCTAAATTAAATAACACGCAGTTTATTATAATTAAAAAAAATAAAAAAGAGCTGATAGTAATTATAATAACTTTTTCTGCTTAATAAAAGTTGCCATATCACTTAAATTGTATTGTACTTAAAATTTAAAGTAATTAAAAGTTAAAAGCTAGATTGAAATAATTATCGAAATGAGTTCGATCTACAAATGTGATAGTTCAATATGCTCTGTATCAGACGCTAAAAGCGAGTTGCTTACCTGCAATAGATTTTGCAACAACCGATTTCATGAGATGTGTTCGAGTGCTCCGTGAGGGTGGTAATCCTCTTTTCTGGCGCAATATTTTGTGTGTAAGGGATGCATGGACCGTCATTCTAAACTGGGCGACTTGTTCAAAAAAATAAATTATCCCTCAATAAGCAAAAAGATGAGTACATGGGACTGGCCGCGAAATGTATAGACGTGATTAGAAGTAATTCGACATTCTTCAATGATATAGCCAAGTATTACGAAGCCCTCAACTGCACTTTAAGCAAACTACCCAGAAACGAGCAGGCATCATTAGCAGGCCTAGAGGAGTTACAAAAAAGACTGCAGTTTTTCCTCAATGATAAACTTCAAAAACTAATGGACTCTAAAAGCACTTGCCTGGAATCTCTGAAAGAGTCAGTTAGTTTTCTTAAGGGTAACGTAAGCAAATTATGCGTTAAGGTAGATGCCAGCCTTGATACATCTTTTGACACGTATAAGTTCAACCAGACTTATATAAGTTTAAACACGGAAGATGCCTGGTGTCAGACCAACGAACCATGGAGTTATGAGTCTTTTCTGAGATCAACAGTTACTCTGTGGCCTGCTATTTTCAAGCTAACAGTCGGCAAAGGTGCATCTTTGCAGAATGAACTGACCTGTTCTGAGCCTCCTGCAAGTTGCAACATGTCTGTCGCTGCTGAGATTAATTGCTCAAATGAAAAATCTTGAACTAATTGATTTTTTAAGCAACCAGCCGCTACATTTTTCCTAAATTCTTCGCCTCGATGTTCGAACCTTTTTTTTTTAAGATTCCTAGTGACCACCACAGCAAGTAGTCCTAAGTTGTTATTAGTTAGTAAATTCAAGTGATATAATATAACCATAGCTAATATCACTCAAAATAACTTAAAATATAAGCCCAAATACAAGTCTTTCAAAGTTACTGTACCTTGTTCCATAGCTGATGACATAATTGGACATAAGGTTTGGCATGGGGGTACGGTGGTTCAGTATTTTAGGGATTATGACTCAATTGGGAGCATTGTTGGCTACGAGAAAGCTAATGCTTCAATGCACTCTAAACTTAAATCCATACCTACTAACCCACTTATTAATAAGAGGAACAGGAAACAGGTTCGTTTCCAAAAAAAACTAACAATATGGACAACTCCTAGAACACTGATTCTTCTCGCATAGGCAAGCATGCTAGATAAGTACTTTCCCGTAACAATGAACTTAAAGGGAACAATAACAATAATAAAAAAGGTTGAATAAAAAATTTTAGAAATAATAGCAATTATAGTAATAATAATAATAATAACAATAAAGTAACAATACTAATAATAACAATAATAATAATAAAAATAAAAAAAAATAAAGCTAATAAGAATAATAGTAATAGTACTAATACTTATCGTAACAATAAAAATAACTTTAATCATAAAAATAACTATAATTACAATAATAACGATTAAAATTATAATAATAGTAACAACGATAATAATAATAATAATAATAATAATAATAATAATAATAATAATAATAGTAATAATAATAATAATAATAATAATAATAATAATAATAATAATAATAATAATAATAATAATAATAATAATAATAATAATAATAATAATACTAATAATAATAATAATAATAATAATAATAATACTAATGATAATAATAATAATAATAATAATAATAAAAATAAAAATAGTAATAATAATAATAATAGTAATAATAATAATAATAATAATAATAATAATAATAATAATAATAATAATAATAATAATAATAATAATAATAATAATAATAATAATAATAGTAATAATAATAATAATAGTAATAATAATAATAATAATAATAATAATAATAATAATAATAATAATAATAATAATAGTAATAATAATAATAATAATAATAGTAATAATAATAATAATAATAATAATAATAATAATAATAATAATAATAATAATAATAATAATAATAATAATAATAATAATAATAGTAATAATAATAATAATATTATAAAAATGTCTGTTAAATACTTCTTTCCAATTTTTAGGACATTAGTAAGCTTATAGTTAACATACCTTGAAAAATGTGAATTTGGCTCGTAGTAGAGTTTCGCTTTGTGCTACCCGAATTCCCTGAAATGCTCGCCATTTAGTATCAGTAACACCCAGAACTCGAAAATCAAATTTCAAGAAATTCCATCAATTCCTTCTGTAGATATGGTGAAAAATATAATATCGTCCCGCAGATTAGTTTTAGAGCCGTGATCTTTCCAAAAAATTTATATGTTCATTGTTTTAGTACGAAAATGTATATTTGGCCCGTTGTAAACGCCCAGTTGCTGACACCTGATTTCTTCCAAAAGTTAGGAGGTTTCGCGGACGGTCGATCGAAGCTTATATATGAAATTTGAAGTAAATCAGTTAAATATTTTTTTTCAAAATGCCGAGGCCTGATATATCCCAAAAGTTTATCAATCCGTGCCATGATCGAAATAAACTTACACAGAAAATTTTATCAAAATCGGTTCAGCCGAACTTGAGATACACGCGTGCACACACAGACGGACAGACCGACAGGTTGCTAAAAATAGTTTATTTACACTTCCCTACAAAGGAGAAGTGCATTCCCACCGAAAACTCGATATTCAAAACTTGTTGCCATCACATAACCCAGCTATTGTATACACAATACGGTCGGTAAAAATTTAGTTTGGAATGAATAAAAACTGAATTTAAAGTAAAAAAAAAATGGAATTTGCGCAGCAATAACTGTATTTAAACTTGTGCGGCCTCCTTAGGTGTTGCTATTTTAAAGAGGCCAAATTTAGTATAAAAGGGTAAAAAGGTTCCCAACCTCTATGCGTTCTATTGTTTTCTAATTGTATAAATAATGCGTTCGATTGTTTACTAATGTTATGACACTGACGAAACTATGCTTTCTTCGACAATGATTTTTTAGATAAATTTCAACAACAGAAGATTTACTTACCGTTAATGCTGTGCCTAGAAAGCTTGATACAGCTCTGGTAATACTGATTGCTGTTGTTATGAAAGCTCCACCGTCAAATCCTGTTAATGGCGCTTGAAAACTAAGATCATCATCGCCCTTGGTTTTAATAGATATTATTATCCGCATGTTGAAATGTCACAGTTTTAATATTTTGTTAAAAGTTTATTGTTAAATTACAATGTGTGTATTTTATTTTGTTATTTGTGATATGTTTGCAGTGTTTGAATTTTTCATATTGGCAATGTGCATGTATAGAGTATTTAAAAGGGAAAAGAATAATTAAACCACGAAATAACGGATTAAATAAATATAAAATACATTGAAAATTTTTGAAAAAGTAAATAGGAAGTTAACGCAGATTCATGTTAGTAAAAATATGTGTACAATGTTAGAGGAAATGTTAAGTTACATTAAATTAATAAAATTTGCATATTAATATGGTAATTAAATTAATTTTTAGTTTTCTAAAATAAAATAAAGTGATGTTAACAAAGTGAAAATTTGGCACAAGAGACGTGATTCAGTTGGATATATATAAAACAGTAATTATAAAAAGATTTTATTAAATTTAATAATTAAATAAAAAAATAATGTTACCTCAGCATGATTAGTATAAATTAATGCGTCACGACCTCCGTAGTTAATGTTTTTCATGGTACTCGCCGTTGTACTTTGATGTTTTTTTTCTCTCGTTTTTTTTGTCGTTGGGGCGGTTTCCTGCCAAGTTTTCCACAACCATTGTATACCTTCTATAATTGGGCGTCGGGTTAGAGGTGGAGGTTTCCTTGGTGCTTGAGTAGTTGTATAAGGTGTGGAATTTGGTTCTATTACAAAGAGATCCTATGAAAGAATAAGTTAATTTTAAAATTTTGTGTTTCGTTTTAATTTTTGAAATAAAAACTTGCATCAACGCTGACTGGGACATTGTTGTGTACGGGTCCAATTCCTATTTGCTTTAAAACAGAAGCTAAAAGAGCTTCATTACTTTTTCCATAAACTTCAATATCCTCATGATTTCTTAAATCAGTTTTCAACAGACCAAGAACTTGTTCTCGAGTTAAGGATGGCTTTTTGATTTCGGATAGAGTTGGAGCAATTAATTTTGATGCAGATGCTGTTGTGCTTATGATTTTTTTTTTAGTAGTAGTAGTAGTTCTTTCTGTTGTAGTAGGTAAATTCGGAGCTTCAGTGGCTTTTGACATAATTAGAGGTAACTCGTTTATTGTTGTCTGGCGACCCAACAACGAAGAAAGAAGTTGAAGATTTTTTCCAATTTCAGTTGCTTGATTTTTTGATATCTCAGTTGAAATTCTTGGCTTCGGTGTGGGTGCTTGTTTTTGGCTACGGTTGGTAATAATTTCATTTCTTAAACTTGGAATGTCTGCAATAGAAACTTTCCTTCCAAGAAGCGAAGAAAGCAAAACCAAATCATCATTTATTGATTTTAAATCTTCTTGCTCCGTTTGAAATTCTTTTATAAAATTGATGTTTGAGGTACGGCTTGTTTGAGGTTGATATTTTTGAGTAGTTGTTGTAGTTGAATTATTAGATGATGTTGTAGAGGTTAATTGATTTTGTAAAGCTGTCTCTACAAGTCTATCAGCAAAAGTTGTTGGCTTAGCCATCACAATATTGTTGAATTTTGCGAATTGTCGCTTTAAAAAGTTTTAAAAAAATATATATTTTAAGGAGTTGCTTACTTTATATCTTACCAGAGCACTTAAAAACTCAACATCTCTATTTTTATTTGGATTTAATGTTGTTCGAGTATTTTGAAAACTATTGAGCAGTTGTTCTATGGTGTTTGACTTAATGTTGCTCAGAGATCTTACTGTTGGGAAATTGACTAAAGGTTTTACTGTTGGTGTACTGTAAGACTGAGTTGCGGGTGTAGTGGTGTGAGTCGTTAGTTTAGGATTTGTAGTTGTTGTGTGAGTTGTAGTTGTTTTTTTTGGAGTTGTACTTGGTATAGTGTTTTTACGTAAAATTGTGGGTGTAGTGTTTGATGGTACGTTTTTTGGTTCGTAAGGCTTTTCGATAGAGGTTTGTTGTTGCTGACCGAAAAGAAGTTGTCGCTATAGAGCAAAATTCGTTAGTTACTACTTTTTTAAAACTATTTAATATTTTGTCTGTTACCAAATTTATCAAAAATCTAATGTCATCGCTATTGGAAAGTTTGTTGGTTTTTTCTATTGTCGCATTTGCAGTTATTGTATTAGTAGTTGCAATTGTTGTAGTTGTTGCAATTGTAATTGGTTTCATTGTTCTTGTCGCCAAAGTTGTAGTTGTAAATGTTGAAGTTGATGAAAAGACTTGGGGAATGGTGGATTTTTGACCTGTTGTTACCATATTAGCTTGTATTCGTAGCAGTTCTTGAAGCAAACGTAAATTTTGTTCTAAATTATTGTTATCTAAAGTTTTTTTATAATTAGTAGTTTGCAGTTTTGTTTGTGAAGGACTAATTGTAGGTGCCAAAATTGTACTCAATGAATCTATTTGAGTGTTGTCGCTTATCAAGGGTGTTATCGTTGTAATAGGTTCAGACGGTAAGCTGAATTCATTTCCTTTATTTCTTAAAATATTTTCTTGATCATCATACGGATCATATGCATCATAGTACAATGTAACGATATCTTGAGATATATTTGGAACTAATGATCCGGATGATTTGTTGACAGGTGCTTTGATGGGATTTAGCATTGGATTTTGTGTAGAAGTATCTATTTTGAAAAAAATTACTTTCGTGTACTAAAATTGATAAAATTTGTATTACGTGTTATTAATTTTTCTAAGTAAGGCTTAATAAATTCATCAGGTTTCTGTGTTGTGGTGCTCACTGTTGAATTAGACACCATTTCAATATTTTTTAAATATTTAGATACTAACGTAGATGTTAAATTTAACGATCTATTTTTATTGTCTTCCATGCTAAGAGTCTATAAAATTGAATAAAATTAGTTAGTTTTTATTCAATAGTTCTACAGAATTAGTTTTACCAATGGATCATCTAATCCAAATTCTCCAATTTCATTAATATTACTACCTTGAGAAAAGCTATGTGTTACTTTTATTGTATTATTAATATTTGATGTTGCTTTGCTTGTGGTTGAGATTGGTGAGCTTTGCTCAGACATATCTGAAACATTTTCTTTGAAGATAGGGTCGAAAGTTTCATCTTCTGTAATACTTTTTAAAGTTGTTAAACTGAAAACACTTTGAGATTTTAGTGAAACGTCATTTTTAATATATTTTCGTTTCAAGATGTCCAGAAGAACAGGATTTTCCTAGTTGAAATAGAGTATATTAGTACTGTTCTTTTTGATATTGCTAAAAAGAAAAACTTTAACCCCTTTTGTTTCATCTTTTGATGAATTTTAAAATAATTTGAAAAAAATTAATGTAATAGAATTTGTTTCAAAGAAAACAAATAAAAGAAAAGTCGTCTTAAGTGAAAAGAAAGTAATTTTATTATGTACACATTTATTTATATATATCTAAAAATAATAAGTTAACTGTTAAAATTCGATACCCAAAAACATGCAATTTTAAAAATTTTATTGTTACAATAGATTAAAACAATGTAATGATTAAAAGCAATGCAATATGTAAAGTTAAAAGCAATGTATGGAAAAAAGGGTACTTTAATTAATTAAAAATACTAATAGTATGCAGCTATTTTCTTCACATTGAGCATACTAATAATGCAAAAAAAAATTATATGCACATTTTTTAAAATAATTTACTTTCACACATTTTCTTGAATTACATATTACCGTGTGTAACAAGTGATAACACGCATGTGAAATTTTTCTATATTTTCTTTTTATAAAATTCTAGAAGAAAAGTTCTGTCAAAAATTGAATAAAATAAATAATTATAAAAATTGCTTACGCTTTCAGAAATTTAATTAAGGCAGACGGGAAAGGACACAGAATGAAACTCAAATAAAGTCTATAAAAAAAAAACTCTTTACCTTTCTAATAGGGTCATTTCGAAAACGTTATTTGGAAATTAAACTTCGACATCTTCAAAACAAATCGTTTTATCTCAAGAATCATGCTCTAAATTTGTAATTTTTCAAACACTCTTGTCAGATTTGCAAACTTCAAAAAAATACTTCAAACTGAAGTTCAAAAAAAGAGTTTTAATTTATTAATCAAGAATTGATACTAGAATAAGAAACTAACTTATTTAAAAACTTTTAATAGCGAAATTCAAAATGTTTTTTTTTCTTAAAAGCAGTAATTAATTTAATAAAAACTTAAAAGAACAGTTACTAAAATTTTAAATTCTATACATGTACAGCCTAAGTTCGCAAATATATTCAGCGATGATTCTTTGCTCAATTTCCAACAAAAAAACAAAAATTCTGGCTTTAACGAGTTTTATCTCGAAAGCTAGGGCTAAAATGAAATTGATTGAAAATGACTGCGAAGCATGATTACTTTATGTCAAATTCTGAAGTGATAAGTATTTTTTTATATGCAGTGAAAGCTGGTACCTTTTTTCCCTTTCCCTCACCCCCTCGCCCATATAATTTTTTGCCGGAAATTGATCAAGGAATCATTCCTGACATTATTTGCCACTCAATGCGAAACACCCTGTATAATACAAACATAATAAGTAAGTAATTGATATTTTTATGTTTTTTATCGAAATATGACACTAATTTTTCAAGAAAATAGTTTAATAGAATGTTATTCGTTTTTGTAAACTAGCTAAACGACAAAAAGATCAATTGGTTTTAGGATTATATTAGATACTATACCATATTGTTAAGATGATTGTTGATAGGAAAAATGTTAGATAGAGAAGTGTTACTATTCATAAAAGAAGTTTTTGTATTATTTGTTAACAATAATAAATTTTTAATTATATTAGTGGGAAAGTTAGATTCATTACCACCTTTACTTCCTTTGAAGTGGTTTTCTATAAAATTTCTACTTAAATAAAGTGTTTTATTAGCATTGTCTCCAGAATGAGAGCCATTCCAATCGATTTTATGTGAACCAAATGGAACTTTAGACCTATGATTAGTGTTTGTAATGTTACGATGAATTGTGCTTGAAAATTGTTCATCGTTTCGGTTATCATTTTTATTAAACATTCCAGTTCGCCAAATATAACTGTTTGGATTTAGCAGTAATTTCGGCTTAATATCAACTATTTCAAAATCTTCTTCAGGGTACTTGATTTGTGAAACTGTACCGTTAGGATATTTTCGTACCATAGTTTTATTTGATAAAATTCCATATACTGGTGGTGGCTCACTGAACAATGGTTTTGTCGCTCTAGGAATTTTCCGTATGACGGTATTGTTTGGTAGAATTCCATAAATGGTATAACCCAAAACTGGAGCTTCCTCAATTAATTTGCTTTGTTCTGCAGTTAATAACTTTAATTGTTGATTGGGATTTCTAGATGTAACTTCAGTGGAATATTTCAAAGTAGTATTCAGGGAAATAAGAGTAATTTTTGGACTAGGAATATTTTTTTCAGATGTGGCTTGAATATTTTTCAATAGGCATTCAGGAGGTTTATTATTGTTTAATGTAGCATCTAGTAGGTTTTGTGTAGTCAATGGAATATTATCGTTTTTGTAGATCAATTTAATTAATTTAGTCTTTGTAGTAGCAGTACCGTGTCCAGAATGTATTTGTTTTTTCATTGTTGATTGTTGCGTTTTTTTCACTTTGTCTTTCAAAGTTGAATTTAGTGTGACAGGGTGTTCTTTTGGGATCTCCTGAAAAATGTCATCTGTTGATGATACTTTAGTTAGTATTGTTGTTTGCTTCGGTGATATGTAAATGGGATGAATATCTACTAATGTTTCTTTAGGGCTCAAAGTAATTTTTTTCGGTTTTATTGTAAATAGGTCAAAGAGTGAAATAGTTGATGGTGTTGAAGTAGTTGTTGTGATTATTGTACTCGAATTGGTGGATTCTGGTTGCGCGGTTATTCTTAAAATATTCGGTTTAAAAACCTTGTAAAAGCCTTTCAAAGGTTCATTATTTGAAGTAAAGTTTCCAAAATTTAAAATACTTATATTTCGTACACTTTTTGTGGGATTAGAATCTAAAAAATTATTAATAGCTGAAATTAATTGTGGTTGTGACACAAGATTACTACCAGGTGTTCTTAAGAAATGCGGTTGAGGTATGCTGGTTTGTAAATTAGAATTAATTACAGTTACGGAATTAGTTTCGGGAATATCTTTTATAAGTAACTCTAAAAATCTATTTACTACTGTAAAATTTAAGTTATTGTTAAAATTATATTTTAAGTGTGCATCGAAGCAAATATTTTCAGAGTTAGTACTTTGATATTGGTTTAAATTGTTACAGCTACCCTTTCGGTTAATAAAAGCAATTAATTGTGGAAAATGATTTGAAACAATTGCGGAAGTTAAATTATGAACCATATTAAAGTGTCTGCTGTCACAGTCGCCGTAATGGCAGTCATTATTATTGTCTAATTTCGAATCTAATTTCTTTATTCTAATTAAAGGAATGGAAGATTTGTTAAAAGTATATGTAATTGAAGTTGTAAATTTTTTCTCTATATCATTGAATTGATAAGTAATATTTAGGGTATCATAGATGAGTGTTGAAATGTTAATGTTTGTTGTTGATGAGTTATCGGCCTTATCGTATGCATTTTTTTATAATCAGTTGATATTTGAATTGTGATTGAAGGATTTTTTTTTCAATGTTTTTATTTTTAAATAAATAAAAAAAATAATATAAAGTTAGTAAACTATTTACAAAATCTATTTTATAAAAATAAAAGAAAAATATTAATATAAATATCATGTTTAATGTATGTACCTGTATGATAATTGGTAGTTCGGTAGTAGTTGTTGTAGTGGATGTTGTTGTTGATGGTGTTGTTTTGTTCTTTACCACATTTTCTGGGTTTTCCGTTCTTTTTGAAAGAATATCAGCTAGAGCTTCGAAAATTGAAACAGTCGCAGTACCAGCCGGGCGGTGTACTTCATCTTCATCATATAAATCATCAACATATTCCTCACTAGAATCCACCACAATCTCTGATTTCGTCAAACCATCGTCTATTGGATCAACAATATTCCAAAATCCTTCTTGTTCGCTATTTATCTTATTTATAGACCTCGCAATGGGTTTACGACTATTTTTGTTTGAATTTGTTTCAAAAGTATATATTTTAGGGAATCTCTAATGTTGTTTGAATATTGGTTGTTGTGTGTTGAGTAATTCGTATTTTCCATTATCAATTCATTTATTTATAGTGTATTATTTGTTTAATAAAGGTTGTCAAAATAGTGAAAAAAAAAATTAAAAAATTTTTGTATTTATGTATGTATTTTTAATTTATTTGTTTTTGTATATGTTTTACTTGTTTTTTATTAAATTATGACTTTATAATACTGAATATGTCTATCAACCCATCAAGTTCACAGGGAAAATCTAAAATAAATTCCAAATTTGTATGAAAAATGCAAGGCGTGTTAAAAATCAGTTATGTGAAGGAAATTCATTAATATTATTAATTTCAATTCTGCTAATTATAATATGAAAATTTTAACTTATTTTGGGATTTTGTAGCGATTAATCAAAAGTGGTAGAATAAAAGTTTCTTGTCTCATCACAGCTAATGACACAAGATATGATGATATCATAAATTATGAAACCATTATCTGGAATGAACACTACCATTCCTCCTGTAATTCCTCCTTTTTAAATCTGAAACTTTTCTATGAAATTCAGTACTCTTCCACTTGCAAAATTGTAAAGTTCGGATGTATTCAAATTCACAATTCATTTTTGTTTCATATATGTATATATATTTTTCTATCGATTTTGCCAACTGATTTTTTTTAAATAACCTTTGCGATTTCCATACAAATTTAAAAATTTTTATTGATTTGCCTTCTGGGTTTGACAGCTTGAAAGATTTTTTCAGCATTGCATTATGTATCAAAATATACCATTTCAAACTCAAGCAAAAGAAATCCTTTTAGTTTAATAAAAAATGTTTTTAAAATTGCGAAAAAAGTATATACGTACATATGTGTGTACATGTTTTTTTTTCAAATAAGAAAAGTAGAAGCAACTTAGATTAGTAGACTAAATCAGAAACTTAATCATTAGCCTAAACTGGATTTCCAAAATCATAAAAGGTAATATTTTACATATTGTAATATTTATAAAGCTAAATAATTCTCTAAAAATTTAGTTTTATTAGTATTTGAAGTAATTTTTAAAAAAGAATTTTTCTTTGAAATATGTTGGACATTTATTGAAAATAAATAAATCAATCATAATAGTTGGTTTTAAATACATACATAAGTCGGATTAACTTTAAAAATAATGATCTGGAAGCTATGATACAATAATTTCAAAATGAAAATTCTCATATTTAGAATAAGATACGCCATTTTCCAATAAGACTAGACATTTTTTTAATTGGATCTCTGCCTTTTTACCGACCTTATTGCATAGATTGATGTTATGTGATGGCAACAAATTTTGAATCTCGAGTTTTGGGTGGGAACGAACTTCTCCATTGTAGGAAAGAGTAAATAAACTAGTTTTAGGAAGATGTCAGTCTGTGTGTGCACGGGTATATGTAAGTTTATTTTAATTGTAGCACGGATTGATCAACTTTTTGGCACGGATTGATTGAGATATATCTGGAACAGAGCCTTTTTGCGGACCAATTTTACATTTTTGCGTTTATAAAGAGAAAAAATCAATCAATTTCCTTGAAGTTTTTTATTTAAATTCGGAGTGTTAAACAATGAGTCTATAAATTTTTTGGAAAGATCAGGTTGGAACCAAATTGGGGACCGATTTTACATTTTTTATTATATCTACGAAACTGATTGGCAGAATTTTTTGAAATTTGATATTTCCGTTCTAGCTGTTACCAAAACTAACTGGTGAAATTTTAGGGGATCAGGATGGCACAAGGCGAAATTCTACTAAGGCTCAAATTTACACTTTTCTAAAATTGGAAGGAAGTGCTCAAAATGCATTTTTATAATCTTCTGTAACCCTTCCATTAAACTACCCAATATACCAGATTTTTTACGTGATCAGATTTTTTTTGTATGAAAATATTATAAAAATTTTGAAATTTTGACTGAACTTGTTTATTTGCAAAACTCTGGTTAAGTGGTCAATAACTTTTGTGCACATTTTGAAAAAACGAGATATTAATAAAGAAAATATTCCATTTTTTTCAGGTTTTTTTTATGCAGTCAGAAAAAACGTAATAAAGCGCTTTGCACTCAGAAAACTATGTTATGAATTCATATAATTATTATGAAAGCAAAATTAAAGGTATTAAACTTTATAACACAATCCAATTGATATAAATAACACAATTCAATACATTTTTTTCTTATGTAGAAGAACTCAAAAATTCCGACGACTCCGTTGATTGGTTGGCTAGTATTGGTTTGCATTCTTAAGTAAAACGAAGTGTTAGATTCACGAATTTTATGTAACAATGTTTTCAGAAATATTTTTATTTAGAGATGTCCTAGGTAAAGTACACAGAAAAGTTTCTCAAATTACATATTTTAAAAATATCCGTACGAAAAAATTGTACTTTTTCGAAAATTCGGATGTTGAATTTTAAAAATTACCTTTATTCACAAATTCAGAAAATTACTTTTAGGTATATTGAATTCATACTTTTAGTGTCCCTAGTTTATATTGTATTAAAGAAGGGCATACTGTGTAAACCAAAAACTAATGCACTTTTCGTATTATGTTTATTTATTTAATAACACTATTTAAAAATAATTATAACGTATGCAATATTAAATTCAATGATGAAAAACATTATAAAATTATATAAAAGAATTTTCTACAAGTGATGCCCTTGCTTTAAAATTCATAAATTAGTTTAAAATTTAATTTTGAAAATTATGTAGGTGTGCAATTCCTTTTTAGTATTTTTTTAAAATTAAGTTTTAATCAGTAAAAATGTCCTTTATTTTACGTGTATATTAAAATAATAAAATAAATGTTCAATTAACAAAATATTTTAAAATAAATAAATAATAATATAATTATTACGTATGCGTTTATAAATGTGAGCTAAATACAATTAAAATAATGTAAAAGTAATCAAACAAATCGGTTTCTGCTTCTCGCGGTATCTTCTATTGTATGGTGGGACTCATCACCATTTTTGAAAAATTCATTTGATATTTTCTTTTGAGTAATTGTTTTACTTGCCATTGTTGTGGTTACTTTTGATGTTCCGTTAATCCACTGTGGAATATCCATAAATGCTTTCGGCAATGTGCTCTGCGTTGATACCGGTAAATTATTTTGTTTACTTTTTCGAATTTTCTCTCTTATCATCTTCTGGTTTATTATTTCCTGGCTTAATGTTTTATGATCTTTTTTTAAGGTTTTACGCAAAAAATTTTTCTGGTAAAGTTTCTTTGATGATTCAGTTGTACTCTGATCGAAGTTATTGGATATTTTTGTGATTTTCATTTGCATTTTATGATATGTTAAAGGTTGATACAATCGTTGCCTTCTTGGAAGTATTTGATGTTTGTGAAATTTTTTGTTTGATAAGTGGGAATTTCCAATAAAAGGTGGATGGTTAATTGACCATTCCCATGTGTATCCCTTTAAAATAAATATACACAGTTTTTTGGTTTCGTTTGATATTTCTATCGTATTTATGATTTAAAGTAGAAACATATACATGTAACATGTAAGTTTATTTTATTTCTATAAATTTTTATTTTTATAAATTTTATAATTAAAATACATGCTATGGCTATGTAATAAAAGTTCTTGTTCATTTATTTTTATATTACTATTACTGAAAAAATTTGTATCCATTTAACACAATACTCCTTTTACTAGAAAACATTTTTTTATAGTTCTCACAAAAAGTTTGTCAAAATTATATTATGCAACATTGTAAATATAAAACCTTTATTAATTTGTTTGAGTTCTCCAAATTCTTTGCAAAATAACTTAAATTAATTGAGTTTTTCTAATCAACCAAAATATTTCATTGTTTATAATTCGTTTATAAAAAAAATTTACTTATTTTGAATTGATTGTAGTACTTATCCTAACAGGTTTGTCCTTAACCAAAATATGTAATCTTGTATACAAAAATACTATAATTAAAGTTTATAGCAAAATCCAACATAATATTGTAAGTGCATTAATATTTGGTTTGTATATAACTTTGTTCTAGAGTAGGGATATCGATAAAATTATTGGAAAGCATGCAATATAATAGCCTAACAGGTTGATAATATTTTTGTACTCACTGATGATGATTCTACAGTCATAGTTGGAATTTTTGGTGTATGTACTGGTCTATTTTTTTCCTTTTCTTGTTCTAATGATAATTTTGATGTTGGTTCACGGTACCTTGAACTGAATTTGGAAAAACTGAATTTGTACTAAAATATACACATAAATTAACTATAATTAGCATTTTTTGGTTTATTTATTGGTTTATATTATTACTTACTGAATTTTTTAATTTGTTTACGTCAAAGTTAGAAAAATTTTCCAAGTTTTGAGTTTTTACGGTTGAAACTGTACTTTCGGTTGTAAATTTAGAACTAAATCTTCTCTGATTTTCTCCAGATAAATTCTGCTGCTTTTCTGAAAATTTCTTATTTCGACTTTTATCTTTTTGTGTTTTATCCGTGGTGGTATTAAAATATTGTAGTGTGCTTTTTAAATTATTTAAACTTGCTTTTAGATCGTTTTGTACTTCGTACTTCTGGAATAGTGTTGAATTTGTTTTTGAAATCGGGTTTGTATTATTTGTTGAAGACCTTGTGAGGCGCTTTTTTTTTGAAAGTGAAATAACACGTTTGGTTAAAAGTTGAGACGGTGATTGAGATGAACTTGATACAATACTACTTTTTACACGCCCAGTTTTATTTACTGAAGTGTCAATTTTGAACGGTTTGGATTCCGATTTTAAAAACAATTTAAAATGTTCTGTGTAATTTCCATCTTCCAACTGACCGATTTCATCATGAGAATAAATGTTATAGTTCATTGATTTGGAGACTCTGCGTATATCTGGAAACACGTAGATTTCAAGTTTTGGAGCCATTGCAGTTTCTGATTTCTGTTCAGTTGGCGATTTTTGTTTGTTAACAGGTTTGGAATCAACCAGAAAGCTACTTTCCAGTCGCGATTTTCTTTTATCAATTTCTTTTTTCGTTTTCAATACTTCTGTGGTAGACGATTGACGAGCTCTTCTACGTTTTTCTTGCTTAGGAAAAAGGTCATATTCGTTTTTACCTATTTTTTGTTCTAAAGGTGATTTTCGCAAGCCCTGTATCGGTGGATTTCTGATAAATGCATCAAAACGACGTGAAGCATAATTGTTATTATTTTGCAAATCTGTCCTTTTTTTTATATCTTTTTTTCTTCTAGAATCTTTTGTCGTAGCTAAAAGTTTTACAGTTTGCCTTGTTTTAGTAAATTGATGCGATGACATACTAAATTTGCTTGTGACTCGTGGTACATCAACCAATATTGATTTTCGTGTGGATCCCAATTCATCATCTAAATAGAATTCGTCGCTTAATTCTGATTTATTATATTGTGGTCTGAATTTAAATAGACTTTCCAGACTATCGTCATAATATGATGCTTCCGGTGTGAACCTGGTTTTTCCACGACTTTGAATCTGTAAGTAGAAATTGATATTATTATGTTATGATAATTGATGATATTATTACTGACTTCTGCGTCTATAATCAAAACGTATATCTATCTCGGTATTTTGAGATTTTGTAAGGAGCAGTTTCTGAGATTCTATAATTTAAAGGAGTTACGGAAACAAAAGCTCGATTACATTATTCGTTTTTGAGTTATTGTGTGATCGGATGGACGGGAATTTATAAATCAACGCAAAATTTTACGCTGAGCAAGAATATATACATTTATCTCTATACCGGAGACAATTACTTCAAGTTGTTACAAATTCCATTCCAAGGCGGGCACGATAGTGCAGGATATAAGGATAATAAGTACAGGATAATAAAACTGTGCATGCTGATGCAAAACAATGCTCTGTTCCTTGCTTAAAAGTATAGAAAGAATCTTACAAAATTAAAAAACCATCAAGAAAAAAATTTTATTCTCCCTTACGACTTCAAATCTAAACTGTTCTTATTTAAAGTTTAATCGGTATAAGTTTACCACTATTAATAGAGGAAGAATATTAGAAATTATATCCAAGAACAAATTCTTATATGGATTTATGTTTCAAGAATCAACACTTATCTTACCACAAAATTGACAAAATAGTAAAAGTTTGGTGTTAATACAATATTTTCTGTGACGGTCTGTTGGTCTGTGTGTGGACGCGTGTATCTCAAGTTTGGCTGAGTCGATTTTGATGAAATTTTATATGTAAGTTTATTTCGACCAGAGCATGGATTGATCAACTGCACTTTTTAGCGAGTCTGTTTTACATTTTTGAGCATTTTGATGAAAATATTCAACCAATTTACTTAAAATTTTATATATAAGCTTCACTAGACCGACCGCGAAACCTCCTAACTTTTGGAAGAAATCAGGCATCAGCAACTGGACGTTTACTACGGGCCAAATATACATTTTTGCGTATATAAAGAGAAACAAATATACATTTTTGCGTATATAATCAACCGATTTCATTGAAATTCCTCGTATTAAAACAGTGAACATATAAATTTTTTGGAAAGATAAGGACTCGAAAACTGATATGCGAGCCGATTTTACATTTTTCACCATGTCTACGGAACGAATTGATGGAATTTCTTGAAATTTGATATTTGAGTTCTGGTTGTTACCGGAACTAACTGGCGAGCATTTCAGTGAATTCGAGTAGTGAAATCTGTAGTTTAGTGAAAGTGTTCCAAAAGATTATGAAATGAATACTTCCTTTAAATTTTTAGGACATTAGTAAGCTTATAGTTAACATACCTAGAAAAATGAAAATTTGACTCTTAGTAGAGTTACGCTTTATGCTACCCGAATTCCCTGAAATGCTCGCCGGTTAGTTTTAGTAACAACCAGAATTCAAATATCAAATTTCAAGAAATTCCATCAATTCCTTCCGCAGATATAGTAAAAAATGTAAAATCGGCCCTCAGATTAGTTTCCGAGCCCTGATCTTTCCAAAAATTTATGGCTGAGCAAAGCTTATTTATGAAATTTCAAGTAAATCTGTTGAATATTTTCTTCATAATGCTCAAAAATGTAAAACATGCCCGCTAAAAATTGTAGTTCCCGAGGCCTGATATATCCCAAAAGTTGATCGAACCGTGCCATTGTCGAAATAAGCTTACATATAAAATTTCATCAAAATCGGTTCAGAAGAACTTGAGATACACGCGGTCCCACACAGACAGACCGACCGACAGATTTCTAAAAATAGTTTATTTACATTTCCTTACCATGGAAAAGTGCATTCCCACCGAAAACTCGATATACAAAATTTGTTGTCATCACATAACCTACCTGTTGTATACGCAATGCGGTCGGTAAAAATCTGATGTTATCAGCACATAACCGACCGCAATGTATATTGTCTAGATTAGTAAAAGTATTCAAGAGGTATTGTATATTTGGTAGAAGTTAGGTGGTTTCGCGTATGGTCGAGTGGAGCATAAATATGAAATTTCAAGAAAATTGCTTAAATATTTTCTTCAAGATGTCCAAAAATAGTTTTCGGTGGGAAAGCACTTCTCCATGGTAGGGAAGTGTAAATAAATTCGACATCCAAAATTTGGCGGTCGGCAAAAAACCAAGTGAAAATTTTTAAAACTAATAAAATGAAAATTTACAAAGCTAATTTAAATATAATTCAGACTAAAAACCCTTAGTTCTATAATGTATACAGATAATGAAGACATTATCTGTATATTAACGTTGGTTAATAGTTGGTCGAGTTATTGCTATACAACAATAAAAGGTGCAGGATATAATTGAATCAGCATATAATTGAACGTTTATACCGACTGAAACATCTTTACTTGTTCATATTCAGTTTCCGCTTTTCTATATTTCGCCACCTCAAAGTTATTTTATCGCAGTTGAAGATTAGAAGAAGGTATATTAACGTTGGTATGGAGTTTGTAACTACTTGAAGGAGTTATCTGCGGTATTGACATATATATAATTATATATTCTTGCTCAGCGTTAAAATTCTGCGTTGATTCAGACATGTCCATCCGTCCATCAGTCCGTCCGATCGCACGATAACTCAAAAACGCATAATGCAATCGACACCAAACTTTCACAAGTTTTTTCTTTTATAATTCCTACTGTAATTGGACTAATTCGGACAACGGGTTCGGGTAGCTGCCATACAATTCAAAGAGTTTATTTTAACTATTTCAAAAACTAATAAAGCTATAAGTATAAAATTTTGTATACATGTGTCCAATTATATTTTACACATGCTCTAAAAATTATAATGGGATAGCTGCACCGGTTCGGGTGGCTGCCATACAACTCCAACAGCAAATTTTTTATATTCGGAAAAATAATAAAGTCAGATTCATGAACCTTGGCAGTCGTATGTCCAATTATAGGTCAAATGCTTGAAGTTTTGGCTGAATTGTTTGACAGGTTCGGGTACCTGTCATATAATTTCAAAACCTAATTTTAAATATTTGGAAAAATAATAAAGTCAGATTAATGCAACCTGGCAGGCGTATATCCAATTATAGGTCAGGCGTATCCGTGAAGTAGAATGATTTCACGGGTTCGAGTTATTGCTATACAACAATAAAAGGTGCAGGATATAATTGAATCAGCATATAATTGAACGTTTATACCGACTGAAACATCTTTACTTGTTCATATTCAGTTTCCGCTTTTCTATATTTCGCCACCTCAAAGTTATTTTATCGCAGTTGAAGATTAGGTAAAAATTTCTCAAAATTTGTCAAAAATTTTTAAATTTTTATGATTTTTGCCTTGGAACAAATGGATCTGATTTCTAGAACCAGAAACATTTTATTACATTTTTTTGCCATACAACATCATAATTCTGAAAATTTTAATTTATTATTTTATCATTTACTTTATTATTTTATAAATTTTATTTAATAAAATTATTATTATTTTAGATTATTTGTGAATAAGATAGTTTTTTTTTTTTGAAAAAGCGTTTTCATTTTACAAAATTCGTTATAGTTTTAAATTTTGCTACATATTCGTTTTAACATAATTGGTACTCAATTCTACATCAAAATAAAAATTTACATTTTATCATCAATTAATTAAATTTGAACTCTTTTATCACATTTTTACCGACCGTATTGTGTATACAATAGGTAGGTTATGTGATGGCAACAAATTTTGCATATCGACTTGGGAATGCACTTCTCCACACTAGGGAAGTGTGCATAAACTATTTTTAGCAACCTGTCGGTCTGTCGGTACGCGTGTATCTCAAGTTCGGCTGAACCGATTTTAATGAAATTTTATATGCAAGTTTCTTTCGACCATGGCACGGATTGAATATATTAGGACTCGGGAACTGCACTTTTTAGCCGGTCTGTTTTACATTTTTGACCACTTTGAAGAAAATATTCAACTGATTTACTTGAAATTTCATATATAAGCTTTGTTCGACCGTCCGCGTAAATTTCTATGTTTTGCAGGAAATCAGGCACCAGCAACTGGGCGTTTACTACAGGCCAAATATACATTTTTGTGTATATAAAGTATTTCTCTTTATATACACAAAAATGTATATTAACCGATTTCATTAAAATTTAATATTTGAATTCTTCGTATTAAAACATTGAACATATAAATTTTTTGAAAAGATCAGGGCTCGAAAACTGATTTGCGGAAGGAATTTATGGACTTTCTTTAAATTTGATATTTAAGTTCTGGTTTTTACCGAAAATAACTGGCGAGCATTTCGGGTAACAAAAAGCGAAACTGTACTAAGAGCCAAATTTACATTTTTCTTAGCATGTTAACCATAAGCGTACTAATGCCCTAAAAATTGTAAAGAAGTATTTAACAGACATTTTTTTAATATTCCGTAACACTGTCACTTAACTAGACAATACAGAATGCGGTCGGTTATGTGCTGATCACATCCGATCAATTGCTTCTACATGCTCTCTATTGAGCTTATTATACCCTGCACTTCGTGGAGGGTATATTAACTTTGGTATGGAGTTTGTAACTACTTGAAGGAGTCATCTGCGGTATGGACATATATATATATTCTTGCTCAGCGTAAAATTCTGCGTTGATTTAGACATGTCCGTCCGTCCGTCCGTCCGATCGCACGATAACTCAAAAACGAATAATGCAATCGACACCAAACTTTCACAAGTTTTTTCTTTTGTGCCAAGGACGAACCCTATTGTTATGGGACCAATTCGGACAACGGGGTCGGGTAGCTGCCATACAACTCCAAGAGTTTATTTAATTATTTCAAAAACTAATGAAGGTACAAATATAAAATTTTGTATACATGTGTCCAATTACATTCTACTCGTGCTCTAAAAATTTAAATGGGGCAGCTGCAAAGGTTCGGGTGGCTGCCATACAGCTCCAAAATCAAATTTTTTATATACGGCAAAATAATAAAGTCAGATTAATGAAACTTAGTACTCATGTGTCCAATTAAAAGTCAGATATATATCTGAAGTTTTAGTGGAATTGCTG